TTGTCTGCGTGCAGATGTTTTTGTTTCTGCGTGCAGATGTTTTTGTTTCTGCGTGCAGATGTTGACACTGTCACACCTCTGCAGGCAGATGTGCTCGCTGGTCTCGCCTGCTAGTCGTGCACGTTGTGTTTCCCGTCTCGTCTTGTTAATTCATGTCTGTTGCCACCGTGATGAGCGCTGGTGGCGGCCGTTGACAGCAGCACGATGAAGAACCGCCCCGCTGCGATCGTGACTGGCACTTTGTAATTAACCGAATCCCTCCCTCGCCTCAAACGCAGACACGAGCAGAAGATAATCCGTCTTTTGACCGGACGTACGGGCCCGTTATCGTCTTTGCCTGCATCACGTTTCACGCCGTCTTCCTGCGGATTCTGGCGCAGCTCACAATGAGGCTGACTGAAAGCTTCATCCTCCTCATCCTCCGTGACGGCAGCACTTCCAACCGATTCGTCTCGGACGGGCACGTTCGGCTTCTTCGCTCAGATCCAGTTTTATTTCCTTTGTTTCAGAGTCACGGAGCCGTTCTTATGCAAATCACTGGTTTTATGTTGTTGTTGCTTCCTTCAATTAAAATTCCACAAGAATTCAGTTCTTTATAAAAGTGTCTGAAGAATCATCTGGATTGATCTGGACTAGTTTTTCTTTGGTGCCGCGTCCTCACATGACCTCTGTTGTGACTCGGAGATAAACTGGACTGGACCGAGTTCAAACTGGACCACAGCTGGTAAAGAATAAAACAGAGACTTCAGGTGAAACCTTCTGGACCTGGACCACAGTTTTAGACCCACACCCAGTTTCAGTGAAGCTGCCAAAAACCATCACTTCTGTTGTTTCTTGTTAAAATTTTAAAACTTTACAGCCATCCAGGCTTTTAGGTCTTGAAGATCTTTGATGACTGGAACATTTAAATGTTTTATGACGGACACCAGCGCCATTAAAAGCTCCAAATGAAAATGACGTGCACGCCTTCAGTGGTGGACTTCAGACACAGCCGAGCGCTGCACACGTCCGTCTACGTCTTCACTTTCTGAATTCTCTTAACTTTCTCCATGTTTGTGGGGCCCTGGGGACAATAAGTCAACAGGTGAGATGTGGGGGGACACCTGGACAAGTCCCCTGTCCATTTCAAGGACATGGAGACAAATGAGAGAATGACTCACAGCTGGCTCAGGGTTATCAGAGTAACTTAACATTCTGATTGAAAACAACAAAGTCCATGCTCAATAATCCAGGTATACAAGCCAACGTTTTTCAGTCGGGTCATCTGGACAGTTTCTTACAGAGTTTTGGTCTGAAATCCTGAGGATCCTTTCTTTTCTCTAAGTGTTGAGAAGCTCAAACGTGTCCTCACGTCCACGGGTGTCCAGGATGAAAGATGGATGAATTTGCTGAGTGACGGAAAGGTTTCTCTGCAGCGCAGCACAATTCATGAAACATTGAATTTGATCAGTGAAGAACTGGATGTTCTGATGTTCCTCAGAGCAAAAACAAGTCTGCACACGTCACAACGTTGCAGAACGTTACAGAACGTTGCAGAACGTTACAGAACGTTACAGAACATTAAATTATTCTGTATCATGTTTGAATTAAACTGCGTCCTTGTTCAAAATGATGCTGGAGAAAACAAAGAATTAAACTTTTACTTCACTGGTTTCTCCTCCCTGCTGTTGGTTCAGATTAAAGTGTGTGTGTGTGTGTGTGTGTGTGTGCGTGTGTGTGTGTGCGTGTGTGTGTGGGGGGTCTTTCTGTGGTCTTCTAAAAGCCGTTCAGTCTAATAATGATACAAACTGACGCAGTTTTCAACCAACAAAGAGAAGCAGAGACAGTTTGACCCAGTCAGAGCAGGAGCAGGGTGTGCTGTCTGGTTCATGGTGATCCAGGTGATCCAGGTGAGAGCATCCATCTGTTTTTCCTGGACTTTTTTCAAGGAGGACACATCTCTACCCTAAAGCCACGTGGCCGTTGGTAAGTGCGGCTCCACTCGGCTCTCGTCTTCTCGGTTCTTCTCGAGTGTAGATGGTTTGCCACCACAGTGGAGACATGTTTCCCCGCTCTGTGGGCAGGATCCTAACTGGTCATTGTGTTAGAGCCACTCCGATTGTTGTGTTGTTTTGCTGGGCAGGTCATCCAGTGATGTATCTTTTGACCAGGGCTTGATTTGTAAACCGATCGATGCCGAAACATAAATAGCGGGCTGGCTGAGGGTGGGGGGCGAGCAGAAAATAAAATATGAAAATCGGACTTCTTTTTGACATTTTGATCGCTTTATTTTGATCAATCTTGGCCGTAGTTTTGATCTGTGATTAATGTGAATAACACATCAAACATTTCTATTTTTTTACTGTAGCCTGAACTTTATTTATGATGTCTGGAATGTAGCAGGAGTTCAGACACATCAGCAGTTGTGCACGCTCTGTAGAGCTGTTGATCCTGTGCGTAACGTGCACTGTCCGCAGGACGCGCCGCTGAAGGTGTTGGATGAAGACACTCGCCCCCGCAGGACATGCTGTCCGTTTCCCTGCTGGGCAGGAGCGTGTGTGTGATTGTGTGCACGTGCTGCGGCTGGAACATCCACTCCACAGACTGGGCCCGCCAAGGGCAACGTCTCCTCTCGTATTTTTAATAAAGAATCAAAATCAAAATGTGCAATGACTTTGGACTTTCAGGGACGGAGATTTGAGTTGCCGGATTCAAGCAAACGGTTGCCGGAACGCACCGTGCCAAAATAAGCGAGTTCCCGGATCATGGTCCGGCATGTTCCAGCTCAAATTAAGCCCTGCTGCTGACTAGTCAACAGCTGCTGTCTGCTAAAACTGAAAACAGGAACACGTCTGCATTGGTTCTTGTCAGGAACTTATCAGATGTTTGAAGTCACTTAGAGAGGTCAAGGTGGAGAGCTTCAGATCTTTTTACAAGATATTCCAGGAAACAGGAGCGGAGTAGGAAATGGTCCTTTGGCCCAGTTCAGTCCTCACTGAGGGAACACTGCAGGTAACTCAACTGGTACGATGTGATGTGGAACCGATGAGAGTTGAGACGGTGGCAAAGTGTCATATCAGAACCACCATGAAGGTGCTGACATGTAATGAATTAATTAAATTCAGTTTAGTTTATTTGTATAATACTTTCTATAGTTAAGGTGTACTTTATATAGGAGAAAAGAAAAAACCATGTTAAGATAGGAATAATTACAAACACGTAGAGTAGAGCAGGTAAAGACAGCAGCAGTTCAATTCAGTTTATTTATAAAGCACCAAATCACAACCAAGTTGTCTCAGGGACTTTACAGGAACATTCACATAAAAGCCAGTTAGTAAAGTTCTCTATCTAAGGAATCCAGCAGACAAGTTGAATCTTGGCTTCGTTGCAGTCTCCCATCCTGAGCAAGCACAGTGGAGACAGTGGGAAGAAAAACTCGTTTTAACAGGAAGAAACCTCCAGCAGAACCAGCTCAGGACAAGAGACCATCTGCTTTGACCTGCTGGTTGAGAGGACAGGAAGGAGAGACAGACCAACACAGAATGGTAGGTCCAGGTCCAGATATAGGTCCAGGTCCAGATATAGGTCCAGGTCCAGATATAGGTCCAGATATAGGTCCAGATATAGGTCCAGGTCCAGGTGAACCTGAAAGACAAAAAACACATGTTAGGATAGAAAAAATAGTTACAAATACAAACCAGGTTGAGCAGAGTAAGTAAAGACAGCAGCAGAGTGAAAAGTGTGGTCAGTTTGTCCTCCAGCAGTCTAAGCCTATAGCAGCAGAACTAAGGGACAGCTCAGGAAACCCAAGCCGACCCTAACTATAGGATTTATCAAAAAGGAAAGTCTTAATCCCAGTTTAAAAACTGGACAATGTGTCAGCCTCATGGACAGAAACTGGAAGTTGGTTCCACAAGAGAGGAGCCTGAGAACTGAAAGATCTTCCTCCCATTCTGCTGCTGGAAACTCTAGGAACCACAAGTAAACCTGCAGTCTGAGAGCGAAGTGCTCTGTTAGTAAAATATGGAACAATAAGATCTGTAATATAAGATGGAGCTAGGTTGTTGAGAGCTTTGTAGGTTAGAAGTAAGATTTTGAATTCTATTCTGGATTTGACAGGGAGCCAATGGAGAGAAGCTAAAACTGGAGAGAGATGAT